CTTACTCTTTGGTTTTACCATGGCACAAACGGCTGTTTTAAGTCGGGAGCCTATGAGCTCCTGTTTAGGTCTTTAACTCGCGATGACTTTTGATTTGAGGGCTGTTAACGATGTTTTGCATCTCGAGTCAAAATGAGGAGAGCACCCCCCTCTGTTTTTTAGAAAATGTAAGAGTCACTCTCACAGGAAGTCTTCATGTTCCTAGTGGCGTGGGGGTGGGGAGATTGGCCGAATTTATACTAGAGGCGAACTATTCGTCTAGACGGATTATCCGTCAGACGGACAATTCGTCTCAGCATAAATGCGAAGACTGACTTTGACGAATAATTTGTCTAGATGTTTTACGCCGGCTACACGACGGATGTTTCGGTGTTGAGTTCATTGAGTAGCCGAGTGGAAGCTTGGCTAGAGGTTAAAAAAAAATATTGCGGCACTCGTAGCGTTGTTGACGAACAAATCAAGAAGAGCATTAGACATGGCGGTATATCAGAAGAATATCCTCTGTCAAGTGCATGCTTGACAGAGAAGATAACTTAATGACCTTCATGTTACCCTTTCCTCTTCTGAATCTCACTCAAGATAGGAAGAACTGCTTTACCGGACGCCAACATGAAATAGGCATCTCAGGAAACATTGCATGTGAAAACTTCGTCAAAAAACTATCTACGTTCTGTCTGGATCTAAATTTAGAGACGGATCATTCGTCTAAGACGAATTTTCCGCCTGTTGACGTGCTAACAGACGAATCAGCCTCAGACGAATTTTGCTCCATAATTGGTCTTAGCTAATAGCACCGAATGTATACTTGCATGAATTATCCGTCTGATGACCGATAATTCGTCCCTAGTATCCGGCTCAAAACGGCTGAGGAGACTAACGTGTTTTCCGCGCTCATGTCCGTCCCCTCCCGTTCATACCGAGCTGGGGAGGGCTCGTCACCCAGCCCTCCGCCCCAGGAACACCCCAGATTGTTTGCTTGTAAAGTTACGTCATCATCAAGGAAGTAACCTTGCCCGGCAGCAGATTTCACCTAAACAGTGCTAAAACCTTAGCCCTTCCTAAAGCATTCGTAATGGATCTGTTGGAAACAAGACAGTCATAGAGGGTAAATATTACAAAAAGGGTTTTAGCTTGTAGATATGTAACTCATAACGCACTCCGCATTCGCTCGTGCATTGCAGGATGAACATGCACTGAAAGAGAAGATAAGCTTACTATAAAAATGGCGTCACAACTTCCTGAAGGGTCGGTCAGAAACGCTCCGCTGTGACAGTTTATGCAGTCAAAAGATCTCTAAGCGACCACCTCGGGAACCCATAAAAGTGGTAGCAGCTAGAGCTGGTTGTTCACCAGCTGTTTACTGGCGAGAATTTTGCGAAATTATACGCGCTCATGAAGCGACCTTGGATATGATTGAAAGCTTATGTTTATGTATTTGAGGGCGCGTCGTCGCTTACATACTAACTTGAGATCAGCCTCCCTTTCGTGTCGCTTTTATTGTAAAATTCTGGTTTTAGCGCGAGCACGTAAGGGAGAATGTATAGTGTATGAAAGCACCTAAAATAGAGCATGATCTCTGGATACTTTGAGCAAAAATCTCGACATAATTTCTGTTATTATTCATTCAAAATATTTCTCCGTTTCTGATTGGCTAAAATCCCACGCATAATTCATCATAATTCACCATAACCAGCTACTGTCGACCAAATTTGGAAGAATTCTGCGGTATGTGAAAAATAATGTATCGGTCAAATGGAAGTTTCAACATGCCCCCCCCCGCGGGCATACCCCGGGCATTTGACACCTTTGCCGTCCCGGGGAGGAGGGAATTTGATTATCAGAGTCTTCCAGGGGGTGGGGAATTTGAACCCCATGCTTTAGGGGTGGGGAATTTGAACTGCACCCTCGATTTCATGTAAAATCTTTGGCGTGGCGAGCTATGGGGGATGCGGTGTTAGAGGATTCTCGTGGAAAAGATTGTGCCTTTGTGGCCAATTGGTTATGAGGAAAAAGCTTAAACAAGCTTTGTGGCATATTTGAAGTATTTAAATTTTAAAATTTTCAATATTGGATTCAGGCCTTGAATGTATGAATGTATTTTATTGTTGTGTTTACAATGAAATACAATACCTATACCGGCGATTCAAAACAACATAAAATAAAATAAAAAGCTCAGGTCAACTACTTTGACCTACTGCAAGTATGTTAATTAATAAGGTGAGTGATGATGCATATCAGGGAAATGGTCATGATGTAGTAATCTCAATAGGTGGGATCTTTTTTTATAGAACGCTTTGTATGTTGCATGATGAAGAAAAGCTGAACATTCAGTGACCTTGTAGCAGCGATTTCCGCCGCTTTGCTCGAGACTTTTGTTCGTAGTAAATACGCTAACAGTGTTTCTCAGTTTTTGTTATATTTATAAAGATTTTGTTCGACAACTGAAGGCGTTTCCGCCGTCCTTCTGTCATTTTTGTGCCTGTGAAATGTCCCTGGGGTGGGGGCATGTGATCACCTGAATGGACCCCAGTGTGGGGCATTTGAACGGCATTTTGGCCCGGGTAGGGGGGAATTTGAACAATAATTTTCAAAAAAGTCAAATGCCCGGGGGGTTGCCCCGGGGGGGGGGGCATGTTGAAGCTTCGATTTGATCGATACATAACTTCAATTGTGCAGTAAATTGCCAAAATATTGAACAGTTAACCGAGAAGACCTGGGGACAAGATTGAGTTGTTTTGGTAGCGAGTACAATGGCAGAACATTTCACTTGTTTCATGAGGAAGAAAAAGGCCAACTATTGGCTAAAAGCATAGCAAGTACCTGGTGCAGATCTAGGATAAATACTGACCAATTTCCTAAACAAGAGCTGTAGGCGTAAGCTGCAGGAGGGGTCTGGGGGATTTTAACTCCTTAAAGTCCCCTTTCCTGGGTTTCTGAGTCATTCAGACAGGATATTGGCAAGTCGAATCCAGTTTTTTTTTTTAATATTAAAAAACTGGTGTTATAAAAAAATTTAAAGTTTAATATCCATTGAGAACAGCAAGAAGACAACTCAATGGATGACATCTCTCTTTAGAGAATATTTTACAGAACTTAACAACCCTTTATCTTCTAAACTTGCTGATAAACATGCACTATCGAAGATGAACTTAACATTGACAGAGGTAAGCATGTTTTAGCTTGGTTTGAAACTAGGAATAATTATTTTGAATGAATAATGAAAGAATTATTAAATTTGGCTTTCTTATCATCTGAAGAATTATGGGGATTTTGGAGGGTGTTATCTGCCTCAGCCTCTCCTCGATCTTTATAATAATATTCTTCAGATAATATGAAAGCGGAATTCAATAATTATTAATTGTTGCCAGTATCAGATAAAAAAGTATCAGTATTTCCCCCAGGTGGGGGCTTTGCTCTTGGGAATTCTTAGTGGGGGTGTGCCTCCTGTTTCTCCAAATCCTGACCCTTTTTCAGACCAAAAAATGTCATTTTCCACACCCATTTTCAGACCTGAAATAACTTAGATTAGAACTCCAACAAGTCCATTTTGAATTCACCTATCTTTCTTTCTTTTTCATTTGGAATTCTTTCTTTTTCATTTGGAATTGAAATGTTCATACATTCCTGTAGTTCCCTTTGAAAACCACATCCAATTCCAGACAAAACTGTTTAAAGCCTATAGCCATTTTCAGACCGAAATAGGGCTAAAACCATACCCTTTGGCTCAGCACAGACCTATAATTGGCTTATATAAGGGAGTACCATCCCCGGGAGTATTTCATTTAATAAGTTTCTTTATGAATCATAGATGTATCTGTACAAACAATATTGCATAATCAAATGGTGACGTCTGAAATAAGGGAATAATTTCACATGCCTTTTTGTTCAAATTCTAAAAATGTAAGACATATTATGCCCTAACTATTTTCACTAGGCAGTATGCCTTTTATATTGATTACCTATTGATATGAAATTCATGGTAACTCGAGAAGACATCCAACATTTTGTGACACCATCACAATAAGTTTCCCTGAAAAATTATGTCTGAGAAACGAGTGCATAAATTCCAAGTAATGACATGTCAGTACCAAGATCTTGGGAGTGCTCTGATTGGTTGAAGCAAATGTCCCTACCCAGATCTATAGGTAGTGACAGTCATCAGTATGGAATTTCTGGGCTCGCTTCTCAGACATCATTTTGCAGGGAAACTTGTCGTGGCATCACAAAATGTCGGCTGTTTTCTAAGGCTTAAATATATAATTATGCTCTCAAACATGGGTTTTGCACGTGTGAAATTATAAGTTAACTCTGAAAATTGGCTCCGTATCAAGAAGATGTTTTTTGTCACCCATGATATTGCATGTATATCCAGAATTTGATCAAGAAATTAATGATAATTTTTATACGAGTGTTGACTGAGTGGTTGCTTATGAGAAATTAATAACCTAAAAGTGTGGCTGTTTTTTCTAGTAGGAGCTCATCATAATATTTAGCTCACTTTTTGTTACAGATCACATTAAGAACTGTACATTTTCTCTTGTCTTCCTGTCACTGGCCTTTTTTGTAGCTGGTGTTCCATGAGTAAAATGCAGATGTAGACCATACCAAGGTACTATACAACTAAGAAATTAATAATTAACGATTTTCAAAATTCTCTAGCTGTCATCTTTGTTATTGGCAGTCCTAATTTCAGCATTAATGGGAGAGGTGTCAACACCCAGTCCAACATTTCCAATACTGTGACCAACTTACCATGTTAACTTTAATAAAGTAAATTACATAAATACAGTCCATGATTATTTTATTACCATAGTTTGTATTTATGTTATTTGCTTTGAATTAATGTGGCAAGTTAGTCAAAGTATTTAATTTGGTATAGACAGTCAGAAATTATGTGTAATAATATTAATATTAAATATTGATACATACATCTAATAATAGTAATACATGTTGATTTTTCCCCTTTTCCTTGACTACTTTTATAGGTTAGAGGGAGAAATATGTCGTTCGAGGCTGCTAACAGTTCAAAGGATTACTATGGAGACCCACCTCAGCTTCTTTATGATGTCCCATCTTCTAGTGGTATTCAGACAACCGACAAGGAACCAAAATTGCCTCTGGATATTCTGTTGTTGACAGTTGAGAATGATGAGTTTTTAGCTTGTTACCAGCAACTTCAAAATCCATGCAGATGGTGGTTTGATGACCTTGGTTATGTTTACTTTGAGGAAGAGGATGAAAGTCAAAAAGAGAAAGTGAAAATTGCATTGTTGAAGTGCTATGGTGGAAGTGGTGGTCCTGGTGGTTCTCTGATTTCTGTGAAGAATGCTGTCACTGTGCTAAGATCCAAGGCAGTTATATCTGTAGGAGCCTGCAGTGGTCTTAATCCTGCGAAAACAAAGTTAGGAGATGTCATTGTTTCATCTAGATTATCAACTTATGCATCCAAAGTAGTAATGTCTTATCAAGAGCAATCAACTGGCTTGAGAACTTATGTCAGCAAACATTTTCTTAATCTCATAAAGAATTGTGCTGATGGCTGGCATGCTCCTTTGAAGAATCCGGAAGCAAGTCAAGCAGTTGAAGTACATTGTGGTGAAATTCTGAGTGGTCCAGAGCAGATCCAGGCTGAGTATCGACGTGATCAACTGGCTAAGTGCAACCTGATGGCAATGGCTGTGGAGATGGAAGGCGAAGGTGTTTGTCATTTTTTGTGTAATCATATTCCAGAAAACTTCCTGATATTACTTGATATGCATATGAGTGCACAAGTCTTTAGTGCAATGACTCGTAAAATGTACGAAAAACTCAGGAAAATGTAGTGGGAATGTAATGGTCACACTGAGGTACTGATGTCTCCTTGTGACACTCCCTTCCATCAGTCTCTTTTTTGACTCAGTGCTAGAGTAACTAGCCTGAGTTAATTGGTACATAGTGTCTGTTTAGTACATAATTATTATAGATCAAAGATGACTTAAAGATAATTATGTTTTAAGAGCAAAAAACTAGGTCGGTGAGGGCATTAAAGTCATAGAAGGGTGTAGATTGTTCATAATTATTTTCCCCAGAGTTTCACCATTGTTCACATTTTTGTCTCAGTTGTGGGGACCTTACATTGTTTGTAGTTGCTGTAGGAGGTAACCCTGGGAACAAGGTGATGTGATGTGCTCTTACGGTGCTCAGTGGGCCCTTGCACCTAACTTTTTTTCTTTGAGATTACAAAATATTAGTTTTTTCATAAAAAAAATTATTTCCTAGACAGGCTGGATTCCACAGGTTTGGAGTTTTGAACTCCCTTCAAGTTTTCTTAGAGCACAGCCTTTTAGAACGGATCAATTACACACCATGCTGGACAAAACATTTTTCTGTGCCATGTCAGCTGCCAGGGTTTATTCTAGAAATTAGCGAGTGAGGCTCAAATGGCCCCCCTTCTGTAATTTTAGGGGAGCCCTTTTTCAAGAAAGGGGGAAGGGAAGCTTTGCCGCCATTTTGGAACATTCTGGGCAACTGAAAAAGTCTGGGCTCAAATGACTGTAGAATCCCGAATGTTTTGTCTGATGAAATAATGACTCAAAAAGAGAAGAAGAGAAAGGCAATTGAGGCAGTAAGAGTCTATAAAAGTTCAAAGTAACTTTATAGATCGGCCGTCAAATCAGTGTTGTTGTCAGTTACGTTTTCGAATACTTTATTTCAAATAGTACTTATCCTTCGGTCTATATTTTTTGCGCCCCATTTGACGCGGCAGCGTAAATTTTATGCGTCTTTTTTTTCCAAATTTCGGGAATCCCACAAGGCTGCGCTCTAGAATAACCCTGACTGCTATATGTGTCTGTACTGAGAGAGATCACAGGAAACGACCATGCCAGTCACAAATAGTGGGCATTTTATTCAGTACATTGTTCAACATGGAATAAAGTACGGTACAATAATGCTTTAATTACCTTGACCTGGCACTTGAATACATGTGGAGTTGTGTCTGATAGAAAATGTTCAACTGTTTCTTTGAAATTCCAACATCAAGTTCAAACATCATGTTATGATTGGCTGGTGTGATATCTTAACGATTTTACTGACCCAATATATGTAAATGTAAATGTAAATGATGTTAGAAAACGTATGACAGACACTTGCATCCATCAACTGAAGTCAAGCTTTCCTCTGTTAAGTCACTTCCCTACCTCTGAAAACATGAGTTACGTAACTCTGTTTTGGATTACAGGTGTTTTCACTGCAGCATTTGACAGCGGGATTGAATGGCTGATTGTCAAAGGAATAGCTGATTATGCAGTTAGCAGCAGCGCTCAACAGAATGCAAAAAGTTGGCGTCGCTGTGCTTGTGTGATGGCCGCTTCTCTTGTTATGCATATTTTGAGTAATCCCACTGTTTTCCGTTCCTGGCCTCATTATAAAGGTAATTTTGACAAAACCCTAGTCTTGTTTTGTTTGTTTGTTTGTTTCTATTCTGTTGCGTTTTTTTATGTATCTCAACTTAAAAAATGCTGTGAAAGCATCCTGTGCCACCGACGAAACGTAATTATGAGGATGAGACACAAGTTTCCTTTGTTCAACGACAACTATTTCTTTGATGATTTTTGGCACAGTTGATTTTTGCAGTATTTATTGAAAACGGCACCAGCAAAAAAGCTCTGCATGACAGTGTACTTCCCCTCTGCCTTCTCTCCAAACCTTGAATTAATCCCTGTGGTCATCACCATGGCAATCTGCAGTATTAAGGCTGATGTCAACTATAGGGATAATGATACGTTAAGGTGCTCAGACCAAACCTATATTGAAAATAATTTATTACCTTCTGATCAGTGGTATGACACAAATTCATTTCTCAGAAATGCTCGGCAAACCATAACTGAGTAGTTTCTTTTTTTGTTCTTTCTTTCTTTGTCTATTTACAAATTTGCCCCCTGTTGTAGGTTCTTTTGCTATTACCCAACCCAAACGCTATAAGTATAACACTTCATATCCTAAGAAAGTAAGATTTTTAAAGTTGGTTTTTCAAACTAAGTGTGCCCTTTTGCGTGCAAGGTGTTCGCAAGACGATGATTGATCATGAAATTAATTTTACTTTCTTTACACCAGGAAGAGTGGCAGGGATAAAACGCAGCGCAGAGTGTGTGGAAGTCGAGGGAAGTGTTAAATCTCTGAAGTCAGACGTCGCTGATGTGCAACTGCGATTAACACAAGTGGAAGAAAAACAGAGCTCTGCTGAACCTCCAATAATTCCAGGTTAGGAAAACTATTGATTGACATTAGTTCAGCCGGAATATTCCTTAAATGATACCCTCCGTTCATAAGCTTCTTCGAATATAAACCCCTCTTTTTCAAACCAAAAAAGCCTGCCACGATTATAATAAGACCTTCAGGTCGGGGGGCGGGGGAATTATATCTGGGAATTGCCATCGATTTTCAATAAACCATACCAAAACAACTGAACGACACTAGCCCGAATGTAAGTTTTTACTGATTAGTTTTCTGTGAACACTTAGCTACAGCATGAAATACAGTATCCTGACTGTTTATTATTTTATACAGCAACTATAAGCTGGTATCTTATATATTCAGGATATCTTCATTTTCACTTAAGTTTGCTGCCTAATTGTTGAAGTTAGCATGTTCACTAGAAATGAAGTTGTCACGAATGGCTATAGCCACTACCCCTTTATTATCTGTTGTACAACGAAAAAGTGGTTTTTGTCGATGCTGATTTGCCCATGATGTTTTCAAACCCCTTTGCATGAATGTATGCCACTAAAAATATTCTTTGAAAAACAATAGAAGCGTTGGGGCTTATTTTCAGTATTTTACGGTATTCAAGTTATTAGTGCTCTAAATACATACAAGAACGTCTTCAAATAGACCTTGGCAACACAGGTGATTGTTTGTTTATTTGTTTACTTATGTATTTATTTTTGCAGAGTTTGCCGATTGTGAATCAGACATCAGGTTTTTTGCCGCGCGTTGCCATGAAAATACAAGGCAATGGCTGTTTGAAGATTTTGAAAAATGGTTCAGTGATCCTGGTGATTCCAGAGCTTACGTTCTCCTGGGTGATGCGGGTGTTGGCAAAAGTGTTCTAGCAGGAACCCTAGCAAAGCGTAAAAGGGATGCTGGATGTTTGACTGCTGCTTATTTTTGCCGTCATAAAGATAGAAGAAGAAATCATCCCTTGAGTCTTCTTGGAACTCTCGCACGTGATCTCTGTAAATGCAATAGTGAGTACAGTAGCATAGTGGGAGGGGAGGAAGGTGTTAGAAAGTTGATAACTAAGTCCGAATTCAAACTTCAAGTTCATGAGTTATTTGCGAAATTACTCGAAGAGCCTTTAGCTAAGTGCAGGTCTCCTCCGAATCGCAGATTAGTCATCATTGACGCTCTAGATGAGACAGAGTACGGGTCCCGGAAAGATTTTCTTAATGTAATTAAGTTAGATTTCCCCCGTCTTCCAGAGTGGCTTGTGTTCTTTATCACCAGTCGCCCCGAAGAACAAATACAGAGCAGATTGAGCAGGTACAAACCATGCATTAAGATGTGCGCAGGAATTACTGATTGGGATAACTTCTATCAACAGCACAAGAAAGACATTCAAAGATATTTAGAGAAAGAAATAGATTTCTCCGTTTTCTCCTTTTCACCTGTAGACGTTACAAAGAAGTGTGGTGGATTGTTCTTGTACGCCTTCTACATTGTAAAAGAACTGAAAGATTCAGCAAAATCAGGTAAAGTAACTCAGTTGGCCCAGCTGACTGACTTTCCAGGTGATATCGATGAGTTCTTTATGCAAAATTTTCAACGAGTATTTGACAAGGTAGGGCGCGATCTGTACAGGATACTTCTTGGCTGTATCATGGCTGCACCGTCTCCGCTTCCTGCATCGTTTATCGCGTTTGTTCTCAAAAGAGAGAATTCAGGCCTTGAAGAGTATGATGTAATAGATGCTGTTTCACAGTTTGTGGTTTTAACAACTTCCGATCGGACAATGACCTTCCTTCACAGTTTGATCCCTGTGTGGTTGTCAGACAAAGGTAAAGCTCGGACGTTGTTTGTTGACAAAACGTCTGCGGGTGAGTACCTCGAGACTTCTTTCAATGAAATCCTCTCAGCTGTTGTAGATGTATCATCCTCAACAACGTCTGTAAGTATTGCTGATGATTTGAAGAACTATGTTTTGCGTTTTGCCATTCGATATTTGTGTCATTGTGGTGACAAGAATTCGCTCGACAATGTTTTTAAGTTCTTGACCTGTTATACTTTCTTGCAAAAGAGAATTCAAATGCACCAAATCAATAGCTTTCGGGGAATCGAAGAAGTGATGGACGAATTGTTGCTAGCAGCTGGCTGTTTCACTGGTAAGGAGAAACCGAAGGGAAATGTCCTTAAAGCGATCAACGATACCTTTTATTCATATGACCAAGTTGCTCTTGAAGATTGCCCAAACGTTCTCCTGTTTTGCATTGGCAGCTCTTCCAGCCTTGTCCGAGAAAACGTCTGGTCAATCCCTTGCCATGAGACCATGAGTGATGGTGTAGGCGACTCCTTTGCCGTATCTTCTGATAAGAAGACAGTGGTCGGGGTACTGAGGTTTCAGTATCTTTTCTTCGCGGATACAGCTACTTTAGAAACAGTTGGAGGCCCTTTCGAAATAAGTACGGATATCATTGAAGAAATATATTTCATAAAGTTTTCCCCGGACGACAAGTTTATATATTTTGGACGACTCGACAAATGGTTTTCCGTTCAGCAAGAATGTGTGGTTGACTTACCTGTGTTCTCAGGGAACTCCCTTATCTATGGGGAAGGTTTTTCTTTGAAGGATGGAACACAGCACTTTTGTGTTTGTGCTTACAATATCCCTGGCCTTGATTACTTTCCTTGTCAAGATAAGTGTTGTATAGCAGACTTATTTGCCATGTGGGCTCAATTGGAAATTGACAAGGACATGAATGACATGACGTGTACCTATGAAAAATTAGCAGACGCAATATCTAAAACCGAGATACCTCTAGGGAAACCAACCAGAAACGTACTGGAGGTTCTTGGAGTCGACCCAGGGCTGTATGAGGCGAATGAGTCTCCTAATTCCTACGACCCTTCTTGTTACTGTTGTCGCAGGTTAACTGAATTAACCGAGACAGACAAAGAGCCATCCTTGACCGTTGTTCGTCAATGTGTACTTGAGTTTTACCCTCAATTATTTCAAAACCAGGTTTGGGATTTTAACACAGGTAAACCTTTCTTGCACTTGTTTTGGAACGAGGATCGTGAGATGTCACGCATTTGTTATGAGCGTCACCTTCCTGATAGAACAGGTGAATGGAATGAATTTAGTTGTCCACCTCATCTTGGCCCGAGTAAGAAGGTATTTGTTTGTAACATCGCAGTAGACAACGCTGTTTGGGTTTTAAAAAAGCTTTGCGACCAACAACTCAACGGTCTCTTAGTGCAATTCTCATGAAATTGAAGAAGATGCTTAGAACTTGAAACATGACGATTTTCATGAATCCGTTTGTTTTTAAGTGTAATTTACACTTGGGTAACTTCCAAGAAACTTTAATCTTCCTAAACTGGGACTGACGCGCGGAGGCTTGGAAAGGAACTTCATACTAAGCAGTTGTGTTGCGGGTAAAATTCGTTCTCGAGTTAAACCAGTATTCAACCCAGGTTGTAGAGGTTGCCAGGGTTACAGAACCCTAGCCAAAATCTTCATCTGACAACAGATTTTATCTACGACATGTATATATTTAGGTTATTCACGGCACTTTATTGCATGTATTTTTATCGATAATTAATCTCCATCATTGCGCTGGTAAGCTCTGAGATGTGACTTTGTCGAAGTACGGTTATTAAAGTGGACTGGTTATGAAACCTGTTTGTTAGCTTTTTTGGATCTGACGGTGCGCAACATTCAATAGAATTCCTATCATTGTGAACTTCCTGACCAATACAAACCTCGATTTAATTTATTCAGTAACAATTTGTGAATAAAGGATTATCCACGATAAGGGAGCCCCCAACATAAACTACAACACCCTTGCTTTCACCTTTGATGTTTGGCCGCTTTCGAAGCCAGTCTCCTTTACTAACTATGGTCGACGTGAAATCCAACAATAATGATAAATGAGTGGCATTTAAAACTAGCAGCATGTTTCAGTCGGAAGTGTAGCGCTATCCGCTGGAGCATCATTTCAATCATTATTGGTCACAAAAACGAGAAATGGAAAAAAGAAAAGAAATCAGAACCAGGAAGTGTTTTGTAATCAACAGTAGTGGTGTAGGGACCGAATTATCCTTTTTTAGGGAATCTCATTAACTTGCGGAGGAATAAATTAACACCGATGATTAGAAAATAGGAAACGCTTTCACTGGTTAATTCACGGTCTCTAAGAAATAAAGTCAAACTCGCCTGTGACTTACAATCACCGAACCGAATCGTAATTATGCACGTTCAGCATTTTGTTGCATGTTGTTGCGTGTTTTTGGGAGTTGCTGCACAAAGCCGGTTTGAAACGGTTCAAACTTTAGCTACGCGCAAACAGACGCAAAAAACTCCAACGTTATTGTAGGGCCAACAATGTTGGGAGTTGTTGCGTCCGTTTTCAAGTAGCTTTACACTACTAATATAACTCATAGAAATTTAAAAGTACATGGCAGAACGAATGACATTTTGAAAGAAATCCCACTTTTTCAGGAATTTGTTTTGTTCGCCTTTTTAAATCTTGGTGTATTTTTCTTATAATAGTTTGTCGCGATCTAGAGATATAAAGTCATTAAACTGTAATTTATTTTCTAACACCGGCGTTAGTGTAAAGTACTTTCCGATAATAATGAGATCGTTTAGGGCTAAACAGTGACAAGAAGGGTGAAATGTACCTTCTAAAACATCCAAATTTGAAGTTTTTTCCCTCTGTGGTAACTAAACCAGTGTTGAAAATCTACGCAGAGAGAGCAAGCTTGAGTGCATTCTATAAACTCAAGTGCCAAATTGCATGGATATCGGAAAGTATTGACCGCCAGAAACTGAAAGAATTGCAGATTGATTGACTCGCAGATTAGAATTGCGAGACACATAGGAGATATGGAGACGTCATGATCACAGGCAGGAGGAAGTGGAAACTTAAGTATCGTAGTGAACGCGTGGGAGCACTGAGTGAGACAAGCGGCTTTTTTCACCGACACACGCTTGTAGTTAGTGACATTGTATCAAGGGAGTGCCGGCAACTTACATTGTACTTCCACTTCTTTCACATTCACAAGACGTGACGATGATAGTACAAGCAAGCTAGAGAAAATCACCTATGTTGTCACTGCTAGGAATGTCTCAGTTTAGTTGCAATGTACTGCCGTTTGCTATTTCAAACAACTCAGGGGATGAGAGATCTTCACTTAGGCTTCCTACAATCTTTGGGTGAGAACACTTGAAACATGACAAATCCGCGACGAGGCAATCGCAGAGAAGAAGAAAAGCACAGGAAAGTTTCATCAGGCATGGCGAAGTATCGTTGACGACAATTAGCCTTGGCATTCTTGAGGTCGTATTGCCGGGATGTATATTTCTCCGCATCCCAATAGCAGTAGCCGCTTTCTCAGCCATATTGCAACACTTTGAGTGTAAATGCACGAAAAGCCACAATTTCCCCTCATCTTAAAATTTCGTCAAGAACAGTGGAGGCATGGATGGCTTATAGCGATTAACACATCGGACTTAAGAACTGCTTTTGTTAGCTTAAAATGTCTAACGCACTAGGATCCAACCGGTTTAGGTAATAAGGTGCGGAGGGGATTTATTCGAACCTTCGAAACTCCCTCCCCCTTCCCTTCTCCTCCTCCAGCTCACGGGCCTGTTTTTACGTTATCTTAACCTGCAATTCCCATGTTACTAAAAGAGAACGATTCCTATGCTAGTGACTGAGAAAGGGGCGGTCAGGGAATTCTTTCATAAAGTAATATTTTCAGGTGACTGGCGCATGGTTTAAATTTTTGGAGTTTATCATTGGATGTCTGCGTATAACCAGAGGTTAACTAATCAAGGCCATAAGATATTCAGCAGCAAAATTGCACTTCAAGAACGGAAGGGTCTCTGGGTATTACTCTTGTGAACCGGTTGCGAAAGCATTCGAGTTCTCTGCATTTGAGTCAGCGATGAGGAACTGCCGGATCGCTTTCGTGTCTTCTTACACGCTGTAGTCGATATTTTCAAGGGTGTTTCTGGCACACATTCCAGCAAGGCAGAAGAAATCACAAACCTTATACGGCCGCAACGCAACATTCACTAGCCTAGCAACTTTTAGCTTACTGATACGCGATTTTTCGGCGTATTAGGGAGCATGCGCCCTGAGGAGTCAGCTAGCTGGTAAACTTAATCTTCCCTGAACCCGAACTTTGTTTCGCCAGTAATGCAGAATTGTTGAGTTTTTTTTTTCGGATGCGACTGGTTGTTGTGCCGTGTGTTCGTACTACTAAATTAATTGAAAGCGATAAATTCAAAGATTAAACGGTTGACTGGTGACCGAGTTACTCTCCCCAATGGTACAGTCATATCATATCTGACGTGCTGAAGGCTCTTTGCCGTGGCTAATTTACCTCACCAACTATGCTGATAAAACCAAATTTGCTACCAGTGTAGTGATAATCGTTTTTTCAGTTGTCCCGGGTAGAAGGCTCACCCGCCTACCTATCTAGGTTATAGCTAAGATTCTGTTCCTTTTCCCTTGTTTTACCTTAAAGGACAGGATACAATAGGATTCAATAATATCTCTCTGCAGTATTTTTTAATTATTTACATTATACTGTACACGTACCATTAGTTTAATTATGTGTTTTGGAGTATGTTACGACCATTGTAGGTGAATTTTATTACACTTTTGTTAATCTATTAAATAACATTTTTAAGGTAGAATTCTTGTTTAGCGCGCTGTGAAATTTGCTGAATTTTTATATAATTATGTTCAATTGTGTCACTGAGTAGAACTATATAATTTTTCGTCGCTTGCACTCTTTGGAAGTGAAACGGTGGAGTTTACAAGATGATAGTTTTACGAGAAGCCACGAATCTTTTATCTTTTTTGAGTGTTTTAGTTATTGTTATTGTTTTTATTAGGAAGTGGTTCGTCAGCACTTCATTTTACAAAAATAGCAAATATATACTTTTATATATAATGTATTCCGTTTCACTTTCAATTAAACTGAGTGAAATACTGAATTTATTTTTTCTCCATTTTGCTTACTGCATTTTAGTTTAATATGTATCGAATATGAAACCAGGCAGGAATATTACTAGTCAGGCATTTTGCAGTAATTTTCATCCTGGGCGACCCATTTGCAGGTCAATCGTGTCAGAAGAAACGACGCTACCGTTCGCGCCATTTTCCCGCGCGTTTCAGACTTTTCCTCGCTCCACTAGCTGCTCCTGGGTTTCCGAGGAAGTGTAGTTTATATATATCCATTTTCATTACCATTCCCTTCCCGGAGTCAGTTAATATGCAGAGACCGGGAATGTGGATCTTACTTTTAAGTCCTTGACTAAAATCCTAAATCCTTAGTTGCTGTATGAGATATTATTGTAATAAAATTTTGTTGGTCTAAAGAATGTTGTATCGTTTTCACCTATTTAACGAAATTTGGTGGTGACTGTTTATGCCTCTTACATACCGTCAACTATATCTGTTGCGGACTCCCTAGGGGCCGAGAATTAGTGTTCCTAATCACCAAAGACCAAATAACTTGAGTTTATCTCAGGACTATTGAAACAAAATCGCCGGACATTTGGCTGCTGTTCGTATTCGTGTGGTGCGGCTACGCGTAGGCTATTAGTTTCGGAAGGCGATAGTGGATAAGTTTCTCTAGCACTTCATTTTAAAGCGTTATGTTTTAAGGTAGTTTTTCCAAGTGTCCACACCTCACAACAATAGGAAGCTATGGGGAAAACCGATATTCTAAGAATTCTCAGTTTTGTTTGAGGATCTTGACCATTCTGTTAGAACTTCAACTTTGATAACTTGATTGTTACCATAACAAGCCTCCTCCTTATTTCCTCCGTCCCATCTCTATCTCCAGATAGATCCCAAGTAAACATTTTTTTTTTGTATTTTTTCACCATTCACTTTTATTTCTTTCTCGATCTTCCTTTGTTTTTTCAATCTTCATAAGCTTGCCCTTTTTTGCATTTCTCACCACTTTTTTGAGGCATTTCTCACCACTCTGTTTGCCTACTACCTCAACTAGATAAGGTAATCCCCTACCAAAGGATCAGTGTGATGAAGACACGTTTAAACTTTACGTCCAATTTTTGTAGACCAAAATAACCCCAAATGTAAATATTAGTGTAAGTCAGAATGAGTTGATCTACATCAGAGATTTTGAAGCCGTTCAAAAAACGCACACTCGTGTATTAGCAGGTTTAAGAACTCTCGGCTTCGCCTCGAGTTTTTAAACCTGATAATACACTCCTGCTCGTCT